TTTTTTTTTTTTTTTTTTTTCTCAAGGTTTCTGGTCATTCTGGAGGCTTGCCCTGGGCTTCTGGGCTGATTGCTGGTAGGCTCACAGGTTCCCAGTGCCGCCCATTCCCCTGACCCACAGGTGCTGGCAATTAGTTTCAATGAGCCAGGGCATTCTTCTCTAGACCAGAGCGAGCTACAAGTTGTCCTATCCTAGCCAGGACTGCCTTGTGGGGCAGATAGACAAGCCGAGCTGCCCGAAAGTTCGTGCTCTGAAGCTCGCCTGGATATGGACCAGACAAGTGTTTCTCTGCCCAAACTCGAGGACTTGAGGATGCTCGGATGCTCCATTTCCCGGCCCCGGCCTGCCCACGCCGCTTGCGCTTGGGCTTCGGAGTCGAAGCTTTCGTATCTCTCGTGTCCAGTGTCATGGCCTGGCTGGACATGTGCAAACAAACGAGATGTTTGCTTTCAGACGAGGATGACCCGTCACCCGGTCACCGTCTGAGGCCTCCTCGCTGCCGTTGTGCGGCGACTCGTCCGGGAAGGCGCCCGGCAGCATGGGCCTGAGCTTGTGCCGTGGAGCTCCGCCTGAATCTGTCTACGGCAATTGCGAATATCTCAGTCCCCAGCGCTTCCTCCTGGGGGATGCTCTTGCTGCATGGCCTCATTTGCAGAGAGACAAAGGAGAGAGCCGGGTAGGCTTTTGCGTTATGTCTGGCCTGAAGTCCTCGATCTCTGTTGTGCAGCTTCCTGCAGCCCGCTCCAAGACACAAGCAAGCGTGAGAACTTTTGACTTGCTTGTGGCTGGTCACATGATCAAGCAAGGTGCTGCTGTCTACTCAGCCACTACAAACTTTGCAAAAGCTGTTTCTGCTTCTAGCTGGTTTCTCCAGTGCGTGCCAAGGCTCGACTTGGCGGCTGCAAGTCTCGGATCTGGGCCTGTGACTGACCGAGAGATGGACATCATCTCTCGATTCTCTTGCATTGCACGCAGACGGCACGATGGTTGAACGGTCAAATTCAGCTGTTGCGTTTCGAAACACGCAACAGCCAAAGCGCTACCAAAACAGAGGCCAGGAAAGTCTTACAATCACAGGTTTGTACTTGCGTGTGCATGCAGCATCCATACCAGGGACAGAAGAAACCCGCTCAAAAACCCCAAATTCCTGGCAACATTATTCACGAAGAGCTGGCCGGACCTGTGTCCTCTTCAATGCCCCTGAGATTGCTCTCTTTCAGGGGTTATGTCCCCCACGTCATCCAAGCACATTTGCCACACTCCAAGAGAGGACTAGGACAGTAGGACTTGAATCTTAAACCCGAAGCCGCGGCAGTCCGATCGATGCAAGAATGCAGGCCTTGCTCTGTGCCATCTACCGTTGCATTCACGGCTTTATCATTGCTACGGTTCCAAACCTCCAGTCAGAGAGTTCCAGCCTTGAGCGCACGGTTTTCAGACCGCAAGGCCTGGGACAGCCAGGTGTCGAAGGCTTCAGGTCGCGGCTCTCCAAACGAGAGATTGTTGATTTTTGGGTCCCTTTCTGAGCATACTTAAACAACTTACACGAACTCCCTGCTAGACATCTGCAGGCCACCCTTCTGGTCGACTCCGCTCCTGCTCCGCCCATCTTCGGAAAACTTCATGTATGGGACTGAAATGTCCGGAAAGGCATTGTCGAGGTGCGCATGGTTTATAACAGCTCTGAACACATGCCTTGACTTGCAGCAGCGAGTCATTGGCAGCAAGATGTACTCCCAAGTCGAGCCAGTCTTCATGAAGCACCAGCAATCCGAATGAAATCAAACTATATTCATGCCACTTGCATCTGGGTGCAGCTTCAAGGAAGCCTTCTGTGGCTGTTACCAGGCCCCTTTACAGGTCACAGCCCAACCTCAAGGTGCAAACAGTGCCTCCACCTGACTGCCAAGCTCGAACCAGCACCGATGCAGGTTGTTGAGGCACCTCACTCAATCTCCCCTTGGCTGAACACAGTACCCAGGCTTTCATAAACGGTCAACAACGGGAAATCCAGCTGCTGCCTCACAAAACTTTGCAACTAGTTCTCCCAAGACTACATTATGCATCTGTTCTGTGTTCTGCGAGACCTGGGAGATATGCTCTGAAGATGCTTGTTGGTTGACGCGAACCCTGGGCGAGCAGAAGCCTGGCCTCGTCAGAGAATCCTCTGCCTGCAACGAGGTGCAGGCACTGCTGGGGAAGCTGCTTCAGAGATGGACAGGGTACGTTTTTCACATCCTTCCGCAAAGTCCCGGGCTCGCCGGCCTCGTTGACATCCTCACCTGAACCCTGCTGTTCATCCATGGCTTAGCAGAGTGGCTCCAAGGATACTACGTCGTTTATTTGCGATTCCAATTCCACGACAAAACTTCAGCACGCTTGTTTTGGGCAAACCACTCGGTACAGAAAAGCATGTGATTGGAGAGAATCATTCCAAAGACATCCCCATGCACCGCAGCTAAAGCTAAAGCCGAATGCGCACAGGAAGGTCAGGTGAGGATAAGGTGATCAGCAAACACGTCCACAAGTGGGCTGGGCTGAACTCTCTGTCTGATTTCCAGTCACTCCACTGATCCACAAGCACGTTGAATAGGCGGTTGCTTTGCTTCATTTAGGCTCATATCTGTCATGATGTGTCCAACGTAAAAGAAGTGCTGCTGCTAGCCTTTCTTTTTTCAATAAATAGCTTTTGAAAGACAGGTCCCATTCCTGCGCATCATTGGCGCCCCGTACCAGGCCTTTGCCTTATTGCCTGACAACTGGGAAAGCAGCTCTCAGCAATCATCGTGCGCATCATTGGCGCAGCGTCCATTTAATTCAATAGCCTGGCAAGATAGGGTTTTTGGAAGAAAGTGGTACTGACAGATATCGACATGATCTGCCATCCACAAAACAGATTCCTATCATCAAATGATCAGTCTTTTTCGTGCCAATGCTCTTTTCCTACCGTTAGAATTCTTACTACAATTTCTACTAGTACTATAATTCTACTATTACTACTAGTTCTACTATTCCCACTATTTCTACTATGACTACTTTTTCTACTATTACTACTCTTCTACTATTCGTACTTTCTTACAAGTACTACCCTTGTAAATTCAAAGCAACGACCCGTCATACAAAAGCCAGGCCTGGCTGTAGCTTCGCCTGCAAATCCAGACCCAGGATTCTTTAGGTTTAGGGTTAGGGCTACCACCCCCAATAAGATGCATGTATATGCATATAAAAGGTTATATTGGTGTTACATAGGGACTATACTGTGTAGAGATCATATAGGGCTTATATAGGGATCATAGGCATATAACCCTCATGGGTGTAAGAATAATGAATAAGCAAAATGGCAACTACTGCTTAGGGATTAGGGTTAGGGAATGAACCCCCAATGATGGAGACTCAAATGTGACATGAGATGGAAGCTATGGAACATTCGGTTCTCAGGGGCCATCCCCAACTTCAGTAGCCAAAGCAGACTCCATTAACCTAAACCCTAAACCCTGAACCCTAAACCAAGCCTAAACCCTGAACCCTAAACCCTAAACTCCAGAGAGCCTAAACCCTAAACCCGAAACCCCAAAGCCTAAACCGTGTGGAAGATTCCAAGGCCTGCACCTTCCAGGCCCGACGGCTTCCAAACGCGGGCAGTCGCCTTGCGGAAGCTCATAAGATGGGAGTGTCTCAAAAAGAGTCGAACGCATGAAGAGACCCTGGGGATGTACATATATATATATATGTGTGTGTGTATGTCCCATATGTATATATATAGAGAGAGAGATATATGTTAAATAGAGATATAGATATTTATATATATACATATACATATATATATATACATAGGAGAATAAGAGACCGACAGGGGTCCCCCTTGAAGATTCCCTATGGATCTAAACTCCGAAATCAATCAGAGGTCGTTCAAAGCTTTGGAGATCTACTCTGCCTCCGAGTGATGCCATACGCTGAAGCTGAGCAGCATTGTAAGGACACCCACGGCCTGTAAAAGATTTGTTATTTCTCGGTTAAAGATTCCGGGTTTAAGGTTTAGGGTAGGGTTTAAGGTTTGGGCCTTCGGGTTTAAGGTTTAAGGTATAGAAGGCCTATGGGCAATCTGCAAACTCATTTGCAACTCAAATGGCCTGAGGCCATCGAAAGTGGCTGTGAACCACGAATAGGTCAAGCAAGAAGTTCAGCGGAATGCCTGTTAAAGGGGAAGGTCATTGTGCCTGGCTCTAACTGACACATGTACCACGAAACACTTTCCTGCTTCGGCTGGGTTGCTGTTAAGGAACTTAAATTAAGTTACCATAATGGGTATATATAGCAAATAATAGGATGTCCCTAATATAGTAGCTTAATTTAAGTTCCTCAATCCCTATATTCCCCCAGTTTCCATTTCATTTTCCATTTTCTTTTCCATTTGATTCTCCATTATAGGGGGATAATATAGTAACTTACTTTAAGTTCCTTAACAGCAACCCAGTCGGTTGGCTTTCGAATCTCTGCCCTGCCTATTTGCGTCCCGAGGCTTGTAGTAACCGGCGTCTCGCGTGAGAGGCCGAACTTGATGAGGAAGTTGAAGAGCTTAGCCATGCCATTGAATGCTTACCACGTACACTTCTCATAATTCGTCAATCTAATGTTGATGTCTACCTGTCGATCTTCGTCATGTATGCTGCAAAGCTGTGTAGCTCCAGGCAAAGCCAAGCTGCTGCAGAGCTGAGAGCGGTGAGCACCACCATGTCCTCGGGAATGAATTTCCGCACGATGAAGCTTTTTAGATCAGGTTTGGGCTTTGGACACTCTGGGGTTCATGGTCTCACCTGTCCACCTTCTTCCTTGCAATCTCCTAGTCCGGCACCTATCTTCTGCCATTTTTCAATTGCTTGACATTGGCCCATTAGTCATCCTGCAGTAAGTAGGACACAAAGACGTCAATCTTGCCTTTGAACTCAAGACATGAAGGAGCTATATGTATTAATGAAGTTGAATGAACTGATTGTTTGATACCTGGACGGCGTGGTGGGCCAAACATAGGGAGCACAATGGTCTGTACACTGCCCTTCTTAGCCAAAGCCATCACTGAGCCTGCTGCCCACGGCACTTCTGCCAAATCCAATGTGTAAACATTCCTGCATCAAACCCTCAATGTGCTTCCCATCAGTCATGCGACTCTGCACGATAAGTCAAAGGCAAAAGCTTTTCGACAAAGTACTGTAACGTTAGCTGCGCATGCGAGTGCCTCTCGAGCAGCAGCCACAGCACAGATCCCATCAGGGCAGAGGCCCAGCCTCAGCGTTGGGCTGAGCCGTGAGAGAATAAAGGTTCACCAAGGACCAGGAGAAGTGCAGCCCATGTGGGCGAGGAAGAGCCCGACCTGCGACCATTGTCATTTCATGCTGGCTGTGCCTGCGCATGCTGTGTCTGCCAATGCATGGCTCAGTCGAGAAGATTGCACGTATGTTTCAACGCAGCAGCAAACTGTGCTGCGGCCTGTGCACGCCAGCTCTGCTAACCAGCGCAGATGTGCAGCAGTTGACAAAGCAAGGGAGTGTTCCTCTCATACTGTTCATACTGCACTCAACTTCTTTCACACCCCTCAGGCTCTTCGAAAGCCGAACATTTAGGAACAGAGCGCGGATCGTACCTACACAGACTTTCGACCGGGCAAGCAAAATGGCTTTATGGCCTCAGCTCGTGTCTGTGGAATGCACGACTCCCTTCTCATGCGCTGCGAGCAACTTGTGGAGGGTCTCGATGCCAGACTCACTGCAGTCCCACGGCGTGCAAGCGAGCACGCATGGCTACGAAGTTTCCCGATGGCCTGCTGGAAGGTCCATTTGAAACAGACCTCAGCATCATTAGAAGTGCTCCTTCAAAGCCCGCCGAATCGGCCTTCTGCGATCAGGAGTGATCTGTGGCAGGTGGCAGGTATGAAAAGATTGTTGATCGTCACAGTCGCTGACGTCCGATGAAGCCACTTGGTCCCTTTCGCTGACCAATCGCCTGTCCAGTTCCGCTCAACTGAACTGCAGCTTGTTGCTGGTTTCCGTCCTCCTCCTTCTAGCTTGCCAGTTTCGGCCAGTTTCGGCGCCTAGGCTCAAGCTGGTTGAAGGCAAAGAGAAGGTCATGCATGTCACGCTTGCCGTGAAGGCACGGACACCTGGCAAGTGGACGCCAAGTGCCGGGCGACCGTTTCTGACCCCTGCCTCTACTGGCGGCTGTTTGGATCACCTTCAAGCAGGCCAGGGCTGTGCTGCTTGCGTTCATATTTCCCAAGCGAAACTGTCTCAGCCGAGCGGCGTGTGAGGTAGTATAGGCACCTCGCCACCTGCGAGGCATAGATGCGCGGCAGCTTCTCCCTGCAAGGATTCCGAGCGTGGCAAACACAAGGCCAGCTGCACCACCCTCACACCCTGAGCTGAAGAAGATCTACAACATCCACGTCCCATGTCGCATATGTCGCACCAACCTAGCAGCCCCCGGCAACATTTCTTCCAGCCTCGGGACCCGAAGCCGGAGGAAGCGCTGCATGGCCTCCGGCAGCCAGCGACTGCAAGTGTTCGTACTTTTCGGGGATTCTGACTACCCCAGGCAAACAAGCAAAAGACCGTTCGGCTAAACTGCCCGCCAAAAAATTGCCTGAAAACCAGGAGTTCACAGCCTGATTTCCATGGCGGAACTGTACGACAAGCAAGTTTGGCACACTTCGAAAAGTGTGACGGCGCAGACACTGTAGAGTCGTGGGTCTGTGTAAGCAACTCTGAAGCTAGCTGCTAACCAAAATCTCGGTGCATGCTTCAATGATTCAGGGTCTGGTTCAGAATTGAACCGAACACGGGGTTTTCACCTGCGCGGGACATAGGAAGCATGGTTCTGATCTTACACATCCTGGAAAGATGGGCTCTCCTCAAGGGCCGGAAGCCTTCTTCCAGCCAGATGTGTTTTGCTGCTCATCTTCGAGAATATCCAGCATATAGTCCAGCTGCTTCTCATGTGCCTTTGCCTGCATCGCTGCTTGCTACTCCACCAAGCGCACCGGTGGCAAACAGGACGCTCAGAGCATCCAGGAGTAAGCAGGCACATGAGAAGCAGCTGTATAATCCAGCTGCTTCTCATGTGCCTGCTTTCTCTTCGCTGCTCTGAGAGTCTTGTTCGCCGCCAGTGAACTCGGTGGAGTAGCAGCCCTAATGCCAACCTCCCGCATAGCTTTTCGTAGTGGGTCCACCAGGTGTTTTCCTTCCTCTCTCAACCAGGACTTTCTCACAAGCATGGAATTGAACTGATCCCGATGGATGCTTTGTCTCACACGTTGCCGGCAAGCACGCAAGCCCCTGAAGCCTTCCGCAGCCACTGCACTCTCCCAAGAGTTGCTGCTTGCAAGAGCAGCAGCCTGTTCCCACATACGGGCTTTCAACAGCAAGCGCATGATGTCGGCATAGTCTCCGCTCTTTGCAAGATCCTATGTGAAACTACTTTGCTTTGGCTGCGTGCATGAGAGCTGTGGGGCCTTTGTTGTTTGAACGCTCCAGGCCTACCTGGTCCTCCCCACGAGCGCCTTGCATGTGCAAGAAGTCTAGGATCGATGATACCTGCCCCGTTTTGATGGCCTTGTCAAGATGATTGTGTACGTCGTGGTAGGTCGGAACAGGTTTCTGGATTGTTGAGTCCACCGACAGCCACACCTTGTCACACTCTTCCACATGCACACATCTCCGTCCTTTAACTCGGCTAGTCTGCTAGTCCGCGAAACAAGCACAACCAAAAAGGATTGGGTTGCCCGTGATCCAGGTGCAGTCACTTCCTGAGCTTTCAGATCGGCAAAAAAACTGCCTGACAACAAGCGGATGCTACGCATGATCCCAATAGAGGAACCAAATGAAATCAGGCACGGGAATAGCACTCACGTAAATCTTGAGCCAGAACGAGCGAGCCTCTTCCTCAATGCAAAATCTATTGCGACATCCCACTGCTGAAATATAGAATCGCAACCGATGGGACCCGGACATCGCGCATCTCACCAGCGTCCTGCAGGAACATGCGCCTTTGCCCCACTGCATAGCAAACACAGCAAAGGAAGGTCTCCTTCAGCAAGCGCCGGAGCTTTTGCTCGTCTGCTGCTCTCTGCCAAACCTGATGGGCACGAGGACTCTTGGACCACATTGCAACCACATCGCAACTACAATGGTGGCGAGCCAAATTGGCAGCAAACTTCATAGAGCTGTAACCTGCTGTATCAAAGCTCGCGAAGCCTGTAAGCGATGTGGATCGGTGAAGATGAAGTGTAAGGTCGCCAGGGGATTGGACGGCAGCCCAGGCGTAGCCTCAACACACTGCCAGTGAGTTCAACAGAACACAACTCTCAACATGTGTGTAATCCAACATCAGCAAGCCATACAAAGCCACCTAGACACTTCTCCAAACATTCAAGCATTTCCTTACCCTCCTGCATTTCATCAAAATCTCACGCAACATCACCCACCCTGAAGGCACGAATCATGATGAGCTGTCATGAGCCTTTTTGCACCAGGCCGCCCCCACTAATAATCTGGGTAGTGGTAAACGTTCCGTGTGTTCTCAGAGCCCCCTCGCCTGGATGAAGCCAAGCCAAGCCCTGAAGAAACCTCACAAGTAAAACTAACGAGATTCTACAAGTTTCTGCATGTCGCTTCGCATGTCTATGCACCTGTCATTCATGTTTTCTCTTCCTCTCAGCACCGACAGGAAGCATCAAAGTGGCATTGCTTGTTCTGTGCCACTGGTTCTAATACCACTGTTTGCCGAAGTCTTGTTTTGGATTCTACACTGTCTATTGCTGCTACCTGTGTTTTTGTTCTGTTTGTGTGCATAGCGATTAGGAAGAGTATTGTTCAATTGCCACTTACATCTACCAGTGCTGAATATTGCCGTAAAGTCTGATTCCTAACAGCGGAGCTTTCCAGCATTGCTTTGCAAGATTTTGAGCTTGCAAGTTGGTGCAAATGTTGAACTCTACAGCATATGCAGGCTATGGGCACTTCCAAGTCCTTCATTTAAAGACTACGAGACCCGCAGCCCGCAAGAACTCGCGCTCACCAACCTGCTGTCCCATGTGCCTGCAGCCCGCATTTGGCAAGTTCCTTCTGGTTGCGGTTCCAAAAGAGCTCGACAGCCTCAGCATATCACGTCTGCCTGTGGCCCTGAGCTTCAAGCCTGGCTGATGAGGCACTTCGGCCAGCTGCTCCAAGCTGTCCTCGCCAGCCTGCTCTCCAACCCAAGTCCGAAAGTGGGCGGGCGAGGGTCTGGAAGTTTGTTGAAAATAATCCTTCTAGCATGTTTGAGGGGAACACCCTAAACTCATTGGAGTCTATCAGTTACGCAAATTTGAGAAACAACCACATCCCAGTCTGAGAAACAAGCCATGCAGACAGCCTGAAGGTATCCGAGTCGGAGGAGCACACGCTGGACGAGATCATCACCTAAGCAGGCGAGCAGCACGTTTGCTCCCCTCATTTCCCCTCAATACATCTCCAGTACAGTACTTTCTTGAACCCTGTCAGGCATTCAGAATACACTGGCTTCGACTACTTTGATACATCTCCTGATGTCAAGTTCATGGTCCCGTACTTACCCATCGCCTGGCAATGCTCCCAACACTCTGTTTCGCCATTGCCTACCAAGCACGTTGCTCTCGTGATCCTGTGTTTCCGTAAGCCGTGGGCTGATGCAAGTCAAGAAGGGGCCGTGCTTCTTTGCCTGCCCAGCATTTTAAGTCTCACATCAGATGAACATGTGGAGTGCCCTAATTGTTAAGCTTGCCAAACACAGAGCGAACCTTCTCTGTACACTTTTCAAGCAGACTCCATGTAGCAAGACAGGTAACACTATTTTGCAGTCAACGCAATCCTGAAGTCACCCCTTTGGTAGAGCTGCCTAGTCCGTCCACTACTTTCAGATGCTTGCAACAGCCCCCAGCTTGCTTGTAAACAGCATTCCAGCCAAAACACATCAATACGAAACCCCAACAAACGTGCTCTTGAACCGCCTACACATGTTATGATGCAGCTGTGCCTGGTCCAGGGATGCACCGGACGTAGACTCCCCCTTGCACCTCGGCATTGCAAACTCCACTAGGTCACCAAGCTGAAAGCCTGGATCCTGGAGCAAAGCCTTACAGTGCTCTGCGTCTCCTTTTTCCAGGCGCCTTTGCCTGGATACGTCTTGGATGCACTGCAGACTTCGTCTCTCCACCCTGCGTGCGCACCCTGCAACCGTAGTGGTACACGGGGGAAACACCCAGGAAAAGAAACACAATGAATGAGTCGAATAACACCCAACGAGACCACCCCTCTTTGTGGGCGTCTCTACACTAATCGTTGCTGCTAAATTCAGTCGTTG